AATAAAATGATTGGGAAAAAAATAGAAACAAATACTAAGCCCTCCATAAAGGTTTGTTATAATCCTTTATAAAATGGATGAATTATTAGATGATAAGGAGCCTTGCAATAAACTAAGGAGAAGGAAATTATGCTAGGTACATTCTCTGGCCATTATGAATACAATTCAAAAGTATTAATAAAAATAAAAACTAAAGTGTAAACCCCTTAGAATATTTAAAATGGTCTCCTAAATACTAGCTCTTAAATGAAATCAAAGCAGTAAGCTATTAAGAAGTATTGATGAGGAAGAAATAACTTATCAAAACTTAATGTGGACAAAATTGTATGCAAAAGCAAATTGATGAGCGCTCTTATTATGGAGCAGTCAAGCGAAAGAAGACAAATGGACGGAATGCTTAGCTCAAGAAGCTAGAGAAACACAAGGAAAGTTAAGGAATTAATAGAGATAAAAAGAGGAATTGATTAATTATAGAGTACTAGGCATAATAAATAAGAATTAAACCTCGTTCCTTAAGAGGACCAATGAAATTAGCAAATCTCCAGCAAGCACATGTTGGATATGAAAAAAACAACACACAAGGAAGTAGGGAGTATTGAGTGAGTGTTTAAGCAGGGATACAGAAAATTTGGCAAAATGTCTGAGAGAATATACATGTGTTCACAGTGATTCCCTTGCGACCTGAGGCTTTTCCTTTGTCTAGGAATCCAGCTGGGAATCAACCAGCCATGATCGCTCCTCTTGTTAAAATTTTCATCCATTCATCTTCTGACACCAAGCAAGTACATCTTCGTTGCCTGATTAATTCATATCATATAAAAGATGTGCTTTTCCAGAGAGCAGGTTGGGATAAATTTGGAAACCATTAAAATGAGATTATACTGAGCACAGCGAACGTCCAACGAGCGAGCCGATTCCGCGTGCCTTGTGCCTGAGTTAACCTCTCATTTCTAGCACCTGGGGACTGCTGCGGTCATCAAAGAATGAGTCAGAACAGAGGCAAAGACCTCAATCAAAAGAAGTCACCGCAGCAAACTAGAATTTGCGGATCTGACTTTTCTTTCTCTGGTGTCAGGGCAGAGAATGTTGTTGACATGGAGCGTTTCTCCAGAAGGAGATTCTAAGCACGTGCTTACAATACTATCTGAGTGCTTTTGGAAGTAGCTCACTAAGTGGATAAAATGTAATAATAAATAAGAGTAAAAGTTACTGATTTCATTGGAGTTTAAGACATCTAATGACCTTATGACTTAGAAGGATCCTTATGGAGAGTCTTCATTCTTTTTTAAAAAAATATTTGGTATTCTCACCTGAAATTATTTCCAAAGTATACGGTATATTCTTTAAAATAGCCTCAGTAGTGACAGCATTTGTGAAAATAGATTATAAAACATATCAAAATAGCCAAAAGTCAGTTGAAATCAGTCTTGTAAGTAAAAGCATGCTAAATATTTTTGGTGAAGGTAATAATTATAAAGTAATAAGCTCAGCTTTCTTACATGATTTGTGGGCTTTCTCTGGAGTCATTCCAAAAAAATGTATTTTGAACATTGACAGCATCTTCATTGCAAGCATGAGACAGCTCTCTGGCATTATGAGCTTCTGGACATAAAATTCGTGCTGTGTTTGTTCTTAAATCTGATTGTTTTATAGGCTTACCTAGTATTTTTGATTTGAATGCACAGACTCTATAACCATGTGCTAAAAGTGCTTAGTAACTTTTCCCATTTATCATCTCAGTGTTCCTAAAGGATTTTAGAATAAAAAAAAGAGTGCTGTTCTAATGATTCTTTTTTGTTCCCTTTTTCTCCCTTTCAACAGGATATATAATGAATTGCATAGATTTAATTTCATTTTAATGTTGATGAGCTGTCACAAGCCATCAATGCGTCCCATCTGTTACTTTGCATGTAAGACTTGGGGTTTACGGAATACGAGTGGCATTTTAAAATAGAGATGGTCTAGTGAGAGGAAAGAATCACTGTGACATTCACACTCATTTTTGGAGTGGGAAGTAGCCTGGTTTTGCTATATTAGATCACATTGATATTGCTTCAGGGGATGTGGTTTGATTAAAAAAAATTTTTTAATATATTTGGTACAGGGTCTCACTACACAGCTCAGACTAGTAGTAATCCTCCTGTTTTCAGTCTCCCCAGTGTTGGGATTACAGGCCTGCACCACCATGGCCTATGGTGCTGGGGATCAAACCCCCATCCCTGAGCTTGCCTAAGCAGGCACTTAGAGCACTCAGCCATCTCACCGGACCAAGACCAGCATATTTTGCAGTCCATTTCTTTCTTTGGATACCAAACTAATTCACTTGTTCAGTCATAAGGCCACATTTTACTGCCTGCCCAATACTCAGGTGCTTTTCTTTAAAGATATGAGAAAATATTCACCCTATTTCTAATTTTCTAAAGCTACCAGAGTGAATCATCTTGGTCAGTAGAAGATTATGAACCCAACTGATCTGGTTAAGTAACCCCACTTATTGGCTTTGTGACTTTGACATATTGCTTTAATATTTTGACCTTCAGTTTTCTCATCTGAAAAAAGGGATAATAATATTACTTTGTGGGTAATATGAAGATAACCTGTGAACACCACCAGTAAGATGCCGAGCCCATGCTAGGTGATCAGCAAATTACAGCTCTGACTGATAAGATTATTTATAGCAATGCTGCGCCTCTTGGAAGGTTTGTAAACATTCTGAAATGTAGCCCCAGACCTCTGATGTGATCTAGATAAAGAAGGAAAAGACAGTTTTTCTGTTGGGGACAACTGTTCTTCCTGCCTTCTGACCCAGAATCCTCAAGGCCTGCTTCTCATCATCCACAACTCACACTGCCATATGTGGCTGCACAGGGCTTAGCAGCTCTAGTGACAAGAGCATAGTGGGGAGGAGGAGTAGGGAGCCCCGAGTAGGTCTGAGAGGGAGTGAGCACCCGCCTAGGGAAAGCACTGCTCCTCGACATGGTGGAGCAAGACAAAGTTAATTTTGTGACCACTGTGCTAACTGGAAACATCATTAATCTTGTTCTGCAATAATAAAGCTGAGATTCGTCATTTGTAGTCTAAGTGTAGAAAGCAATGCTAGGTACAGATGTAAGGAATGAAATACAAATCATGTGTTATATGCTCCTCTAACATATTACATAGCCTTCGTATATTCTCAAAAGGAAATGAGAAAATATCTTAGTTTTATTAAGTAAAAGTTTAGACTATGCAGTTGCATGTAAATTTAGATATTAATACTATTATATTATTTATGTGTAGAATAAAAAAAAACCAAAACAAGCCAGTATATTCATAGCCACTCTTTCCTGATAGTGAAATTGTTTGATTTTTAAATTTCTTTATAGTCCCCTGCATTTTTAGAATTGCCCAAAATAGCTATGAATACTTTTTTATAATCAGATTATGATTAATAGTAAAATATGAAGAGCAGGACAAAAGTTGTAATGCAGGAGTGTATAGGTTAGAGCTGGCTGAGGTGGTGCATGCCTGCAACCCCAGCACTCGGGAGGCTGAAGCAGGAAGATCATCATGAGTCTGAGGCCAACTTGGACTACATAGTGAGACCCCATTTCAAAAAATGAAAAATAAAGTATAGTGTATAGATTAAAGACAGACGGTCTAAAAGGGAAAAAGCTGAATACCTATAAACGTGCTCCGCACAACAGACACAAGCAGCTCACCAAGCAACATTGCTTTTCAGGTATCCAGGGCTACCGACACTCAGAACCACCTGGAGAACCGTGTGTTCAACATTGCGATCTTACCACAAACCCCGGAGGCATCTAAAGTCTCCCTGGGAACATCTCTCCATATGACTGTGAGTTGGTGGGAGCGCTGTGGGTTCCACTTTGATGGATTGGATGCAGTGTCCTGGTTTGTATGCAGTGAGTGCTTGGCCCCGAGTGCAGACTGCAGGGCCAAAAATAGCAGTAAGCACATTTCTCACTGGCTTACAAAAGAAGCCTAAAGTTCTCAGGCTGAAGGAAAGATTATGTGGAATCTGTTTTGACCTCCCTCCATGGCCGTTGTCCTTCCCACAGCATCCCAGATAGTGACTATGTGGAAGAAATTTCAAGCTCTGCTCCATGACATCCATCATAACCTGTGTGTAATTATTCAGCAAGTCATGAGGCTGCCGAGCTGAAGAAGGTGTTAACCAATTTTTAAATGCTCTATCAGAAGTTTCTCTTGTCCTGTAAAAGTAGAAATCGGGTGGACAGTTGGGTGGCATGGAGAGGTGATGGTAAAGAGTGAGGCCAGCAAAGCAGAGAGCACGTGAGAAGCCCAGAGGTGAAAGAATGTGACAGTCAGTCAGGAGATGCATAGAGTACATAAGATTGGAGAAATGCTGAGGGCAGGAGGGGGCTGTGGAGGTCTTGATACCTTCTGATCACAGACAGTTCCCTGTGCTGAGTGGGAAGGATTACAGATCAAGGGACAACTAAAGAACTGATGGCTCATGCAGCCCATGAAGTGCGGTCCAGACAGCACCTCCAGCATAATTCTGCACCTGTGGGAGGTGGGGTACCAGAGGCGCTTGCTCTCCCCGACAGCTATGAGTGTGCAAGCCCTTGTAAATTAATTATTGTGGATCCTTGCTGTAGTTAGCACCCACGTAATTACGTTCCAAAGTAGAGTCTCAGCCTTGAGCCACAACAAAGAATTCCACAATGGTTTCAGAAATTATGGGTCTGGGGCATGACGGAGACATAAAGGGGAAAAAGAAAGTTTTTAATGAAGAGCTGGTATTGGCATTTCCACCATAAACTGTAATTTAAAGAAATCATAATTCTGCAGCACTATAAAGTCTATAATTCATCATTTTGACTGGAGGAACTTGGATCAGAGTTTTCTCTAAACTGTAAATAAAACTGTGCACACGCATTTCTTGCCAAATGCTAATTAGTGCTATTTTGAGTTCAGAGGGAACCAAAAGGGGCCGGGAGCCAGGAAGGTGGTGCCTTTCCACCCCACTGCTGTAGACCTCTTAAGGGACTTTGTGACGCTGACCTTTAGGTTCTTAGCTTGCATTTTTGCAAATTAGGTCTATTCTGTTGAAATTTAGGCTAACTAGACAATTGGTTTACTGTCAATTACATTGAACTTTCTCTTGTGGACCTTGCAATATACCTAGTTTATATTTCATTTGACATTAAATAGGTCCATTACTCCAAACAAAAACATATTCTCAATTCTGGAGTTTGGACTCACCTAAGCTCAGAAATTGTGTATATATTTGGTAACTATATTATAACTAGAGGAATTAAATACACATGTGGCATATTCAAAGATGTATGCAAAAGCAGATCAGAGTTCTCAGGATCTCAAACTTAATCCTGTATTAGAATCACCCATAGAGTTTCTTAAGATATAGTTTATTGGAAAAAACCCTTTGGTTTTCTAGTTCAGTGGGTGTGATATGGGGGCAAAAATGTACATTTCTAGTAATCGGTTTTTCGGTAGCGTAGTAAAAAGATAGAAAAGATAAAAGAAGCCTTTATTAACTCCACAGACATAGAGAGAATCGAGGGCAGATGGGTCAGGTAGATCCTCTGGCCTGAGACAAAGAAAGCTGAGGCTTTTCTGGACTTTTGTTAAGGGTGGCATTTGAGGGGGATGTTTAGAAATGTCTGAGGAACTGATTGGGGTCTTTCCTGTGGCAGCAGGAAAGGTGAAAGGAACTTGCACCCTGGGCTGGGCTGGAGAAGAAGGAGGAGGTGGTATCTGGGAAGATAAGCTGTTTTAAGCACTTCAGCCATATTAGATGAACACCATAACAATTCAGCAATTCAGACAAGGGCCAGAACCTATATCTAGCAAGTTTTCAAGTAATATTGACAGCAGCTGAGATCACCACCTTCCAAAGAGCACTGAGCTAGACTTCAACTGGGGAAATTCATCCCAGAAACTGGAGCGGCCCTTGGAAAAACATGGACACCCAAGGGCATGGTCTCCTTGAACAATCACAGGCCACTCGCTTGGCTGAATTATAAGTTCCTATGTATAACAGCAACAAGAAATGACAGTTAGATCATGGAGGACCTTACCAGTAGATGCAGTTCCCATTTGTTCCAAAATAAGTTTGCAGCAAGTAGAATGTTGAAGGATTTAAAGCACAAAAATCCCATGAACAGATTTTTAGTAATCAGATTAGGAAAATTACTTTGGCTGACAGGAGAGAACATCTTGGGTGAGACTACCCCAGAAGCAAATAGACTGTTGCTATCACCTAGAACAAGAAAGTTTGGTGGCATGAAGCCCAGGTAGTAGAGGTAAATGTTAATGATCAGGAAGATCTTAAGGTGGTATTTGTATATCCATGTTCAATAGCCAAAAGGCAGAAGCAAGTTAAATGTTCCTCAACAATTAAATGGACTCCCAAAATTA